CCACTGCCCCTCCCCCCCAACCTCGCCGCGATACACCGACCCGCACAGCTGACATGTGGCCTGGGTCTGGGTGTCTTTGATAAAAATGGCTCACAGCTGTCCGGGAAGCTGCCGACTCCTTCTGTTTGAGCGGGGGGGCGGAGTCTGGTACCAGGCGAAGTCAGATCCCGGCCCACAATGTCCCAAGCACCAGGGTTCCAGTGCAGGTATCCATGCCGTAAAGGGTCCTGAGCACTGAACCCTTCATACTGTACCTTGCTGTCAGAAATCACCAACGTAGATACGTTCCCAGGTTTGCTGCTCTAGCGGCTTGTGGACCCCAGTTCCGGAAGCTTCTCCGGGCCACTAAAGCGCATGAGCTGTGTATCCCGGTCGGGACTGCGTTTCGTGCGGCATGGGCGCTGCTGAATCGGTGTGGCGGGGCCTCCACAGAGAGATCCCTTTTCACAGCTCAACGTGGAGAAGGCATTGAAGTCGGATTAGACCCCCCCCCCCCCCCCCCCCCCCCCCCCCCCCCTGCTCCCCCCCCCCCTGCCTCCGACACACACGTGCACACACATACACACACAGGTTTGTAATTATATCTTTGTGGGGACTCTCCATTTATTTCTATGGGCAAAAAACTCAACCTCAACCTCAACCCCTACCCAGCCCTAACCTTAACCATAAGTAACCAAACAAACTACAAGCCTTTTGGCATTTTTAGTTTTTTGACTGCATTCACATATCTTTTTGGGGACCTGAAAAATGGACCCCACAATGTCAAAATAACAGATTTTTATTACATTGTGGGGAACATTTTGTCCCCACAATGTAATATAAATGTAATCCACACACACACACACACACACCAGCAGGCCTGTTTGATATGGGCTAGCTGGTGGGAGTCTTCACGACTGCGCCTTTCAAAGGGGGGGGTGTGGACAGATCGCAGGCCAGTGCTTCCCCCTAATTCCCCTTGTTCGGCTGAGAGCATTTGGCTCTTGGTGCCAGGCAGCCAGAGAAGGTGGAGGGGGGGGGCGGTTTGTGGTTGCTATAGCAGGAGCATCACGCGTGGCTGTTCCATCCACCCCCCCAAAATCCAAGGACGGGGTGACGGGGGGCCCGGCGACGGGTGAAAAGTCTGGATTAGGCGCGGGGATAATGGCAGACAGGAAGGTCCGTGAGGCAACAGAATGGGAATTACAGGGAGCGTAATATGGCGAGTGACGGAGGGGGAACGGGAAAACAATGGCTTACAAGATTAGCTCCGGCAGGAGAGAAAGGGAGAAGGGGGAAGAAAGAGAGGAATTCTCCAGGGCACATGAAAGGGAATGTTTTCATCTGCATGAGGAGGTTTCAGTTTTTGCATCGTGCGGGTGAATGGGAGGGGGAATCTAAAGCTTTTTTCGAAAGATTAATTTCCTCTTTCCTCCCTTCTCTTTAATCTGTGGTCTTTCAGACTGGCATGCCTGACATTAGATAAACATTTGATTTGGGTTTGGGGGGCCAGTCGTGACAGATATATCACCCTTACCCTCTGCCGGCCTCTTGGTACCCATAATGCACTGGTGTGGCACCCCGCCGGCCTGCATCAGGCTATCTGTTAGTACTTATATACCACAGTGTTTCCCAAGCTGGTCCTCGGGGATCCACACACAGTCCACATTTTTGCTCCCTTCCATCTCCCTGCCAGACAGTCCACATTTTTGCTCCCTTCCAGCTCCCTGCCAGACAGTCCACGTTTTTGCTCCCATCCAGCTCCCTGCCAGACAGTCCACATTTTTGCTCCCTCTACCAAGAGCTGGGAGGGAGCAAAAACGTGGACCATCTGTAGGTCTCCTGAGGACCGGATTGGGAAACACTGATATACCATATATAGACACGGTTATCTATGGCGCCACTGACGGAAGGCCTGTGGGTCTGGCTCTAATGATGTGCCAGTGCGCCCATAATCCCATAATAACACCTCTAATATCGGGATCTGAACGGCGGCAGGCGCAATCTGATATTTCCCTGCTGGGGGAAGAAACGTCTCGTATGAATGACCCGGAAGCCCTGAACCGTGCATGTGGGTCGCCAGGCTAGCTAACAAACAGACAGCCTCCCCATGCTCAAGACGACACCTCAAGAGTCTTGGGACCCTGTATTATTGATCATATGTAATAGGTTTCCCCTTCCAATTGCTGTAATCATTATAATCTGTCATAGGTTTAAAACTTCTTCAGTTTTTAACATTCACGGACGCTCCCTTTTTGTCTGTGCTAATCTCCCGCTGTTCCTTTTCCAAAGTGTTTCTGTGTTTATGTGTCGTTGTAAACGCACAGATTCCCCCAAGCCAGTGGCTGACCGTATAAGATCCTTCGCCACTGAGAAGCCCTGTGGACATACACAAGTCACACAGATCAGACACACGTGCACAAGAAAGGACCTAGATTCTGGTTACACGAGATATTCTAATTTTGGGGCATAATGACATGGTAATATCTACTCGATTACTGGTGCCATCCAGTGATCCTAATTCTACCTTCTCCAAATCTGATAAGCGTGGTTTTTCTGTTACCCTTAAGCATTGTAAGATACAGATAAATAATAATAAAAAAGAACAGAAGATTAGATTTTGTCCCCAAACACAATACGGTTGACAAACGACATCAGGAAGGAGCATCTCATTCCGCACACGTGGCTGAGCGGGACAAAAGCGAGGCCTGTCTTGGTGGCTCGGTGGCCCTGCCCATTGCATGGGACTCGGCCGCGAACGCAGACACCCACCGACACTCACACCCGCTCCTTTATCAATTCTCCATCGGCAGCACTGATGATATTACCATGACAAAAGTTAGCCCCGTGCTCTCCATCTGCCCATATTTGCACGATCCATCTTCGTCCCCTGGGTCCGACGCAGGCGGAAACTGGCCCGCTTTGCCCGGCTGGCTGAAATGAACGAGATGCTAACTACAGATAGATAGGTTCCGGGCAGCTGTGCTGCACATCACTTCAGGCCAAAAACTCATCAATCCCGCTCTCTTCCTACAGGGGGCGTATTTGGTGGTGAGGAGTGATTTACAATGAGGCTGGCATATGGTCTGCAAGCACGTGCCTTGCTTTCGGGTGACCACAAAGCAGGGGGGTATGCTCCCCGGCCATAAACTGTGTTTGTGCCCACCTGCGCCCCCTGGAGTGTGTAATGGAAAGTGATTTGGTAAATGGCGACACAGCAGCAGTACTCGGTGGGTCAGAGGGCCGGCTAGCAAAGGGCACGGCTCGCGCCCCAAGTTGGGCGGGAGGTTTGTTGTTGGAATGTGCCCCTGCCCAGTGCCATCGGCACCCCCTGTCTCAGCCATGGGGGCTCAGTTTACCTGTGCATGCCATTATCCTCAGGTAGTCATATCGTTTCACTGTTGTGATATAGCCAGCAGTACAATAATTTGGTTGGAAAATTCCAACAGCTCCTGGAACTGTCAAAAAAAAGTTTATTTACTTTCTGATACACTAATTCCACAAAAGAATGTAATCTGGTACCACATGAATCTGTGCCACATTCTTATTAAAAAAAAAAAACTACTGTAAATTAATTCTCCGCTTTGTTATTTTGTTGGTATGGGAGAGTAAATGTGATGAACATGACATGCATTCGGGTTCGCAGCGTCTTAGAACATTTCAGCTAAACCGCAGAAGAACGTCGGACGGCCGCGCCAAGTGGAAAGGGTGCCGGAACGAGGGAGGAACGAGGGAGGAAGAGGGAGGGGGGCATGAGGCGGAGGTGTGCAGCGTTGTTATCGCTGCCATTGAGGCGATGCAAATTGAGCGTCTCAAATTGCCGAGAGCCGCCCCTGCAGAAGCTGGGAGCGTCCCGTCGCGTCGCTGCCAGCTTCCCGCGCCTCGGCGTCGCTGGGGCGTCGTCAGCTAATGTGGGGCCGTTTCACAGATGAGCTGCTGTCAAAGAGGCGGCTAAGGATCGCGCCCGCAGGCCCCCCCGAAACTCCCGGTGACGGACAGGCTGACAGGGTTCCAGCACAGATGACAGGAACCCCGCAATCCCTCAACATAACACCGAAGTCTCGTTGCAGCTTTTCTTTTGACTACGTGCCGGGGCCAGGGACTGAACGATGTTTGAGGGAGAAAAAAAAAAGTTGATGTAATACATGCCTGTACAAACCACTCCGCTTCATTAAAAATTAAACGCGCCCATTTCACAAAGCCCCGGATACATAAATGACAAAGCGCACAAAAGTAATTAAAGCAAATATTTCAATTCGCATGCACTGAAAAACCATATTGGACACGGAAACTGGTAAAATACACGTTAGATGCGAAGTGTGAATTTCATTTTGTTTAATTACGGAATTCAAAATACCCGTGTGGTTGAAATACAATGTTGCGTAAAAGATATTAAAAGTCGTATTTCTCACGTAACTGAAATACTGCTTGTACCTGCATTAGGAAAGAGCTACGTTAAAATCCTGAGGGACTGGTTATCTTTGACACAGAGCTCGGTTTGTCAGCAGTAAGCGTAGCCCCAGGCGGGATGCGAACCAATCTGTATATGATGGAGCAGCGACTTTATTTGGAGTTTTGCAAAACAGCGGGAAGAAACAACAGTTACCTGCCGCTTCTGTCCTAAGTCAATTGCAGTAGGATGTAGAATGGTTCAAATTTTTGTACAATCACAGGGTTTGAAGCCCATGACCTTCGTGTTTCTTAGCACAACGGTCTACTACAGGAGCTAATACAACTTCAGGCATATATACCTGGAAACAATTTGGGAGTCAGCTCTGGGGAGAGGGGACAACATGGCCGGAGAGATATGGTGGTCTGGGGCACGAGAGACATCGTTTCATTGGCTGGATTCCTGTCACATGGTGCAGGGGGTTATATTGATAAATAGTGCTGATGATTATTAGAGTTATTAGGGTTGGTCACCTGATTTGGCCTTGCCCCTGTATAACACCGGGCTTCTCCTCTCTCTCTCTCTCTCTCTCTCTCTCTCTCTCTCGCTCTCTCTCTCTCTCTCTGGATAGGCTGTTCGCGGCCAAGTGCAGCGGCTGCCTGGAGAGGATCGCGCCCACCGAGATGGTCATGCGCGCCCTGGAGTGCGTCTACCACCTGGGCTGCTTCTGCTGCTGCGTGTGCGAGCGCCAGCTGTGCAAAGGCGATGAGTTTGTGCTGAAGGACGGCCAGCTGCTGTGCAAGAGCGACTACGAGAAGGAGAAGGAGCTGCTCAGCTCCGTCAGCCCCGAAAACTCCGATTCGGGTGAGTACTCCGCCCCCCCCCAGCCCCCCATTCACCTGTGAGCGGATATTAAATGCCGCCAGGGAGGAGGGAGCTGGATCGTCTACATTTAAGAAGTGTGAGGCTTAATATGGGACTTTCTCACCAAATCACACAATGCCACTGGGGGGGGGGGGGGGGGGGGGGAGTGGGGGGGGGGGGGGGGGGGGGGGGGGGGGTGCTGGCTGACATTTCCTAATTCATTCGACTCTTTAGTGGGGAAAAATTAAATCAGTAGATCACAGTGAGTAAGTGGAGGCTCGTGATTTGGCCCTCGTTTTCAGGAGCCGTCCAATTCTGCTCCCTCCGCTCCCGGAATCCCGCCAGCACTATACGTCGCCTCCATCTGGTTCCGCATCCACCAGAGGCGAATTTGTCAAAACTGTCTGTTTGTTAGTGTGTCATATTTAGGGAATATAGGTTTATTTCTGGCCTCTTTCAGGCACGGACGCTTTCTGGTTTTTTTTTTTTAGTTTCTTGGACGAGGGGGTGCATGGGGAGGGCCTTGGGAATGACATCAGGTTTGGCTGTGCTGTTGTAATGAAATATGCTCTTTGTGTATGGGGAGTTGGCTCAGGTCCCCAAAGATTAGCGCAGAGAAGAGCGTATAGAGTTAATGCTCATAATCTTACCCAGGCCAGAAATCGCACATTAAAGACTCCAGGAAGGGTCTAGTACACAATAGCAGCAAAGCGACCTAAACTTCCAGTGATGTTTGGATGAATCGGGGCGTAAGCGCTTCAATCTGGAACGCAGCGGATGAGTGATTTACGAGAACAATGTACCAAATGAAGCAGTGTGTCAGCGCTTGGTGTGTGAGGAACGCCCGTCGGCACGGTAACCGGGCGTGCGGGTAACAGCACACCGCTGGCTCCGAGCCGCCTCCTATCGCGGCTCGTCGGCTTGATTTCACGTTTCGCAGCGTTCCCCACCAGATTAAATTTCTTTCCTGTGCGTAATATTCGATGGCCTTCGTACCGTGAAGATCGTTATTATCTAAACGTGAAAAGCAGCATCATAATAAGCCGACCTGAAGCTGGGAAATCCATCGTGTTAATTACTGTCACCATGACAGATGCGGAAGAAGAAATACATAGATAAGGACCCTAAGCACCTGGAGGTAATGCAGAAGGTATTATCTTATGAACAAGGACGGAGGTGGAGTGATGACTCCAATGCAATGATGACCTGCCCCCCACAACCCCCCCGACCGAAACCCTACAGAGCTGGTTTGGGATGAGTTGGATTGAAGAGTAAGAGCAGGTAGTCAATGGGAACCTGTAGAAACTCCTTCAGGACTGTCGGAGAAGCATTCCAGGTGGCCACATCGGGAAGCTGGGGGAATGAATGCCAAGAGTCTGCAATGCTGCCATCGAAGCAAAAGGGGGCTCTTCTGAAGAGTCTAAAGTTTGAGCAAATTTTGAGATGTTGAACACTTGATATGCATTACTTCAATGCATCAGGGCCATTTACTTTAAGGTGAATAACAGCTAAAATAGAGAGAAATGCTTGAAAAGCAGGTGTGTCCAGACTTTTGACTGGCACTGTATGTATACAGAGAGTTACACGCTTGCCGGTCAGTGTTACATAGAAGGCTGACGTTTCCTCTGGCAAAAACACCCAGTAAACATCGTCCTGCTGTCCAGGGCTGTTCCAGAACACGACTGACTGGTATTTGCTAGGTTTCACGCGCATCCAAACCTGCTCAGGTGGACTGTACCAGATTCGTCGGATATCCTTGCCATTCCTTATCTGTGATTTGGAGCGAAACAGTTTAGCGCTATGATTTATTATCGCTGGTATATCTGGAGACAGACATACATATTTTAAAAGTCGCCGCTCAGTGTCTGTCTAATGGCCCGTGTCACTGCTTCAGATAAATACTGATGAGTGATATCAGAGCCACGTCTGATAGAGACACAAAGGGCCTTTCAGGGAGGCTGCATCCTCTCAGGTAGCTAAGCGCATTGACATTATTAGTTTTTTGATTGCAGTCACAGATTTTTATAAAATTGAGTTTCCCCTTGTGGTGACTGAAGAAATGGTCTCCACAACGTCAAAATTACAGGTTTTTATCGCGTTGTGGGGACATTTGGTCCTCACAATGTAATATATATACCTAACCCACACACAATTAAGAGTGAAGGGCGGCCACTTGTCCAGCATTTTTTTGGGGGGGGGGATTAAGGGCCTTGCTGAAGGGCCCGGTGGCAGTGACTACTCTGCCAAGGCCAGGGCTGGTGCCACAAACCTTCCAATCACAGGTACAGTGATTTAACCCACTGAGCCTCACAGGCCTCCATATGGACATGGGACAGCAGGAATCTGACAGACTGTCCCTCCCCCATGCAGAGAAGAGTGACGACGAGGACCTGGACGTGAAGCCGGAGAAGGGACCGGGGGGCCAGGGCAAGGGGGGCGAGGACAGCAAGGACCCACGTCGTCCCAAGCGGCCGCGTACCATCCTGACCACGCAGCAGAGACGCGCCTTCAAGGCGTCCTTTGAGGTGTCCTCCAAGCCCTGCCGTAAGGTGAGCGCTGAGCCCTTACTGTCGGGGGGGGGGGGCGCACGTGACGGCGGTTACCAAACACTGTTAAGCTGCTAAAGTATGTAACTCAAGGTCTGTATACTAGCTGGGACGTGAGCATCGTCGGGGGCATTCTTAGCATCCAGCTGGACAACGGGCCTTTATTTGAGGG